TAATAATTAAAAAAGACGGCTGGAAGAGTATGAGTGCATGCATTGGGAGGAAAGATGAGATAAGACCTGGGAGAGCAAACAGTGCTGTTATATTATAAAAGCCCCCAAATGTATGGCTTTTCATTTAACATTTATATATTTAGGCTGGAAAGGGGGAGGGAATTTGATGATTTACATATCAAAACAATTCTAGAAGATCATATTTTGATGCAAAGCTCCTGACTCAAGACTAGCCTTGCATGGTTTCAGACCCAGGCCATGTAGTGATTGCAGGTGTTGGTTATCAGCATGATGGCATCGCTTGTAATCCTTATGGCTGTGTGGTTTATTAATCTCTTCTGTATATACAGCAGGCTTGTATCTCTACCCCAGTGGACAAACAGCCCGAATCAAAAGCTAGAGTTTCCTTCCAGCTGTGTATTACTGCTCTTGATAGACATTCTTTTGGAACTACCATCAGATTGGCAAGGTGCAGCTTCTGCATTTCACGCAGCCTGCCACTGGCATTTCTTATTCCTTTCATGGCAAAGCAAACACACAAACACACCACCACCACCAGCACCGGAAAATTTTAAGGAATGGAGATTAATTAACCTGTGTTTTCTGTTCTCGAACTTTTGTAAGAATTGCAGTCTTTACATAAAATAGTTCTGGACACTCCCCCCCCCCCATTAAACTAGAAGTGGATGTCCAGGAAATTCTAGTTTAAAGGGGTGTGTGTGCATTCCTGAGTCTTATGTGAACGTTGTAGATGTCAGGGACACAAATGCCCCTCCCCCAGGCCTTCCAGATTTGCCCAGTCCAGATTTGACTATTTGCTGTTTTACCACTGCTGTTCTGACAATTGGTCCTCAAGACTTTAGCTCTCTTTATGCATTTAGAATATTCTGTGAGGGCTGAAAGCTCTGTGGCTCCAGCCCCCCCCCCCATTACTTCCTTTGCGCTTGGCCTTTCATTCTTCTTCAGCTATGCAAGAATGTTAACTGTTGTTGAGGACCCTGATAACTGTTGTTGAGGACCAGTTGAACATAAGTAAAGCCTGTGTTCAGACTGCACAACTCCATGTTGTAATGTCTTGGAACTGAAGCGGTGGGGCCAGGTACACAGGAGGTGCAGACAGTACAACCTGACATTACAACCTTTAGTCTTTGAGCATTTTTCTGAACACCTGAAGAGGGTTTTTCTTTCTGAGAGTTCTGTGTGGAGGCAGTAGAAGCATGGATGAGGGAACTACTCCATCCAGATGCCCTATGGTGGATTCCCTTAAGACCTAGTACATAGGGGGTTCTCTGCTTAGTTTTCCATCTAGAACAGTGTTTGGTGTTCTAGGTATAACTGGACTGCAACTCCATCATCCCTTACCTGTAGTTATGCTACTCAGGGCTGATGAAAATTGCAGCCCAAGAATATTTTTAGAGTCTCAAGTTGCCCTCTTGGACACAGAAGCAACATCTCATAAGCCCCCTCCCCATTTTCACCAAAGAAGCATTTGATTAGGTTAGTACATAATTCGCAAGGTTTGTATAATGGGTTACTTTGGGACTCCTTGGGATTTTGTGTAAAGCCTCTTTCTGGGCTTAATGGGTTTAAAGGACCTAGCTACTTGAGACAAAGTTACAACTGGTTAAAGTAGTTTTAAAGAAGTAGCCATGTTAGTCTGTTTTGTGAGGCGACATTGATGGTTTGAGTGTGTGGTTTGGCCCGCAGATCATCTCTGCATAGGCTGTAGTAATGGCAAATGTTCATGGACATTTCTGTCATAATTGTAAATTAACTGTGACTTATAGAAGTAAATGTAGTAATCCCATTCAGAAAATAGTGATTTCTTTAAAAAAAACTGTTTTTCATTTAAACCTTTCAATAGTTGGGTGCCCAACCCCAAATAAAGGCACAGATATGTATATGTGTGAATCCTGCTGACTGTGATAAGCACAGGAGAATATTTGTAGACCCATCCTTTTAATGAAATGAAATTTAAATAGTTTCCAGTATTCCTCTTTCAGCTAGTGAAGCTGGAATCTGTAAAATATAACAGGAGAGTTTAATTGTACTATGTCTGCCCATTTAAAGAAGGAGAGGTATGTTAACATTAGCTTGTTCCTTTTTGAGACAAGCACTGAGAATGTGGAACAAGATAGATATGACTGTAGCTAGTTGAGGCTAAATGCACACAGCTACTCTTCCCATTGGTAGCGTTATTTGGAAAAAAAATGTTAAACATCTTTCTAGAAAAAAAATTAAAGGGATGTTCTCACAAGAAATAAATGTGCGCTTTCTTGTGTCCTTTCATTATACAGTATGTAATTGTTAGGAATGTTAAACTTTGGACACAGAGCTCTCTGTGAATAACTGCTTCCAGGTACCTCCCATGTGTGTCTGTAGACCCAATGTAAGTGTTTTCACGGTGTAAGATAATGGTGTGATATCCCACCATCAGGTAGAGTTATATGGGATGGAATCTTCCAAACGGGGAAGCTATCCTGCAATGTATGAAGGAATTTGGCCCCTAGCTAGTATGGATAGTTTTTAGAGTTGACCATATGCTTACAAGATCAATATTCTGGTCTCTACTGAGCCATGAAACTTAGTGCATGATTTTGGGCCATGTTCTTAAATGACAGGATTGTGCTGTGGGAATGAAAAGCAGAAGATAATAATTGAGCCTATCATTTTGAGCTCATTGGAGGAGAAGCAGACTGTAAATACAGCAAACATATAAATGATTACTTTCAGCACAATTAGTAATGAGCAAAATGAGTATTAACACATCATCCTGCATGATATATGTGCATATTGCAAACCTTTAGGCTGGGTTGATATTGCTGTGTGAATAACTCCATGGATACTTGTGGCAGGGTCTTTACTAGGCTACTTGGGATTAATCAGTTCCTGTGCAAGATTCATTTGGACTGGCAGAGCTTTGGCTTACAACATGGTACAGCCATTTTAGGGTGGGAATGACAGAAGATAACTGTGCTGCTTAAAATCATCACAGGCACTGTCTGATAGGTGCATCTGGTACTGTACCTATATAACCACATCTTACACAGCAATCAAGTTCTCCTTTGATGTGCCACCTGGGACAAACATGAGGTTTCTCAATGCCTATATATTTGTTTTTTCACCTTGAAGGCATCTCTATGTCCTGCAACAAATAACAATTCTCCATTGGGTAAGCCAAAGACTAGAAGTGCTACATTTTGAACAGCCTCCAAAGTCCCTCAGCCAGCACGGTCACAGGAGATTTGCTAACTCTGGCTTGAGCTTACTGTCTATCCAGAAATTCTCAGTAAGCCAAAGATGACAGGAGCATTGCTGAAACACTCATTTTCTCACTAGTCTGCTGAGGTACATAGCTGTGATGTTTAGAGATGGGCATGAATAAGTGCTTCATGTCAGGGAAACCAGAGCCCACCAGAAGAGGCAGGGCTGGGAACCACTGATTACCTGTTTGTCCGAAAGACGAACCAGCACAAGCCACTGGTTTGTGCCCATCTCTAGTGATGTTATTTTCTGATGTTCCATGAAAGATAACTTATGGAGTTCATTTTGTTACTGAAGACTCTTATTCTTTTATAGCACCTTCGTGATTAAGGGTGTTTCTGCCCTTAGCATTAAAAGCAGGCATACAGCCTGGAAGCATAATGGTATATCAGTGATTCAGTAATGGTGTGTGATTGTAATGTGTCTTTAAAGAAAATTGTAGCTGAATTGTAGCTGTCATTATTAAGTCAAAGAGGTTGGAAAGTATAAAATTACAATTTGCTTTGCATTCATTATCCTGGTTTTGTTGTGCTTTACAGACATTAGCAGATTTCCCTGCAATAAAACAGAAATGTTTTTGTTTGAAGGGTATATTAAGTGATTGTATGCGTGTATGATAGAAATTGCGGCTTTTAAAATCTGGGACTTGATAGTTTTCCAAATTGCCTAGATTCTGTTATTTTTTAAAAACAAGCTTCTATGGTGACATCTGGTGGTAGTTCTTAAATTTTTTAGGTAACATTTGAAGCAAAGTGTGGAAATTGTTGATGGATTTTTATTTTTATTTTTTTAAGTTGAGGGAGGTAGGGTTAGAGTATGTTTGTCTAATTTTTTTAAAAAAAGCTCTCCTCTTATGAATGGAGGAGCCCAACAACCCTTGGCTCTCTCAAACACTTCTTGGTGTCTCCTGTGCCTGGTCTTTTCTGTTGCCAATTTACTGCCTTGCCATGTCTTCACAAACCTGCCTAATAGGACAAGGGAAAGGGGGGAGGGACAGAAGAGTTTCCCTCTAAGGATTCTTGGGAACTGCAAGCCCCAGCATTCCTTGTGGTGATGGAGGCTGAATGAGCGGCATTCTAACACTGCAGTGGTGTCACTCCTGTTGCCCTGGTGGAGCTATGAAAGAGGATATTGGCATATGTAAACTTGAATTGCTTAATAACAATAAACATTCTTAAATATGTTGAGCTCATTCATCCCTTTAGTTGTAGTGTACTTTATGGAGAAAGTTTATTATTGTTAGGGAGGGGATAGCAGTATTTGTAACAACAACAACAGTATGGAAAAGGAAAAGCTATTGATGACAGTTCAGCAAAAACAGAACTTTTTAAAAAGTGTTATGCTCAGGCTTTTCCAAGATGTGTTTATTTGATTTCTGCTTTGTTACCAACTTCTAAACTATTTAGAGCAAGAATATTAAGGGCATGAATAAATGAAGTTAAGCACTCTTTATGGAAAATATTATATATGGTGTCATTAAATATTATTTGAATGGAGAATGTACATTAAAATGGCAGTTATGCACAGGATGATTTGGTGGATAGACTACAGTTCCCCCCCCCCAAGAACTTCCCATAATTTGTGATTATTTGTTTCTTGTTTTTTAATGTTGATGGTGTTTCATGTTGACCTATATTTAAGAGCCATGGAAAAGACAGAAGGATTTCATATTTGATAGTGATCAGGCATACAGCACCAATGTTAATGCCTTTTCTTTTCCTTATGTTTATAAACAGGTACAATAGCAACTGCTGATTTGCTTGACCGGGAGACTACTTCCCATTACTGGCTAACCATTTATGCAACAGACCAGGGCGTCGTTCCTCTGTCTTCCTTCGTTGAAATCTACATAGAAGTTGGTGATGTTAATGACAATGCTCCACAGACTACTCAGCCGGTTTATTACCCAGAAGTCATGGAAAATTCACCCAAGGATGTGTCAGTCATTCAGATTGAAGCCTTCGATGAAGATTCAGGCTCTAATGACAAACTGACCTACAAGATTACTAGTGGAAACCCACAGGGATTCTTCTTCATGAATCCTAAAACTGGTAAGTAAATCCCAGATGCTGTCTCTTGAAGTTTACAGCAGAGCACTGATTCCCAGATGTTTAAACAGAAATGAGAACACAACAGATGAGAGAGGGGAAAAAGTGATTTCTGAGTTATGATTTGTATATGTACAGAAAATTCACGAGTACCTTCAGGGCCTGTCTACATATCCGAATAGCAAGGTAAACTTGTATTGTGAATGCAAAGCTTGGAAGTAGAGAATCAGATTTTGATGTTTTCCACATAAAATCTTCTAGCAAATTAAAAAGTAAGGCTTGGGCTAGTGGCTTTCTCTCAGAAGTCCTAATGTTCTGTAGCCTTGGAATGGGAATATTCAAACATGGAATTCTCAGTCTGTATGTGCAGCTCACTCAACATACAAAAAGAAAACATATGTCTTCTTTTTCCAGGACCTGCTTGCAGTATAATGTACTTTCATGTGCTGTCAAACCATCTGAGCTCTGGAAATTCATTTTAAATACAGTATCTGGAGACTGAAGCAGGAGTCGATGTAGAAAGATTAAATATTTGTATTAACATTTTATATTTATTTTGAAATAGAAATTGGGCCACCTTGCAAAGGAAAACTAAGATACTTCATGGCCTTATATAGTCTGTCCCTGAGCATAAGATCATAGAAGGACAAGGAATAAAGAAAACCCTAGCCGAGATTATCAGAAAAACTTCAGGTCCCATTCAATCTTGAGAGTAGATAGTTATTTGTCTGTTTCATAGTTTTGATCCTTAACTCCCATCTGTCTCAAAGAAAGATTTATCCCATTCATTAGCTTTTCAGACAGTTTGTTTCACTTCCTTGTGCTTCATCGTTCAAGGAACAGATTAAAGTAACATATGCAGCGAATTGTGTATCCTTTGATGCCCTTTTTAAAAAACTGATGTTTATGTCAGAGGGCCCTCCTATAATTTCACAAAGAAATTGGCAGTATATTCATTGTTTTGAGTGTCCTCTTTTTTACATATCACCATATAGGAAAGAGAATAACCATTTCCCACTATTTGTGAGCTCTGCTTGGAAAACTAGTTTGATAGTTGCCTGCTAGTTTTGAGATTGTTGTAAGCATTTTGTGTAAAAATCAGTGTGTAAATTGGTAAGATGGTGTGCTCTATAGTATTTTTGTAGTTTCCTTACTCGTGTTTCTTTCTATCTTAGAGATTTAAGCTGTTGCTTTGATGGAGGAAAGAAACCTTGTAGAGACATTTGCATATTTGAATTTGAAGTGCCCTGCTTTCTCTCTCATTCTCTGTCAGGGTTGTATGTGTGTGTGTATGTGTGTGTGTGTGTGCGCGCACACACACACACACACATATACATATATATGTGTACACACACACACAAATGCTGAATGACTTGTATATAGGGATGCACAAGTAAGCAAATAATTTAATTTGCAAATAAATATCCAGATTAATACTTTATATTTACTGTATTATTGATTCTCCATCAATAGCAGCTGAGTTTGCTGACCCACATGATCACTTACAGCTTTGCAGTTCTAAGATGATGATGATGGTGGTGGTGATTGTCTCTCATGCATACACACACTCTAATGGTTTCTAAACAGGCCAGAAGAAATAAGCAAAATGTTAAATGAAATAATAATATAATGTTCAGATTAAATTTTTAAAAATAGGTAACATCATTTTAGAAAACTTGTTGTTTGAAAAATTGTTACTTATTATATCAGTTTTTCCTTTCTCAGTATGGTTTGTCTCCTACCAGTTGTCAATATCCATAAGCTTGTGTATGCAAATCCTTTCAGGGATTTGGCATCTTTCTGTCTCCCTACAGTTTGAAGAAGGAAAACACTCAACCTTATTTCATTGTTAGAAAGAGAACACCATGTTAAATCTGAATACAATGGCTGGAATTTAAGCTTCTCTACTAGGAATGGCTCAGCCATGTGAGCTACTTGAATTCAAGTGGAGAGGAGGAGAGCTTTGCTAATTACTTAGGGACTACAGCCCTTAGATTGTAACTCACAAACAAAAGGGTTTGATTGATTCCCCTTGGAGCTGCCTCTGAATCTGCTTTAAATGTAGATTGGTTAACTTAGCAGTAATTAAACATTCCTGGTTCAAAGCTACATGTAAAAGCAGTGCTAAAGAGAGACCCAACCCTTGAATGGTGCAGAGATTTCTCTGTTTACCTGAAGCATTGCTGGTCTGTATTCCCTGTAGTACATGCATAACAAATAACTGTCCTCATGATAGGTTTCCTGGGCAGTGCACAAAACTAAACTATCAAAATAGATTAAATGATTAACAAATTGAGTTAGGAAACCTCCAAACAAGTTAATTCAATACAAGTGGGACAGTCAATAAAGCATGATTTCATACCAAAAATCCTCTGGTATATTTGTGCCAGCTAATGGCATAACCTTTGGAAGCTTACAGTTAAGAAATCATCATAGATATTTAAGAAAGCACCATAGCCATTGTGTACTGAGTCATAGAAGTCAGCGTGCAAAATATAATATCTACAGTGCTTTCTTAACTTGAATCCATCTTTAAACACTATGCTGTTGATAATGCAACTGTGCAAGAAGAACTTGGTGAATCTTCTGGTGAACAAAAAAATTCTTCATTCAATGTTGAAAAGATCACAGTGGTTGTGTAGATTAACCTCCCTGGGAAGGCCGTTTCATTTAGCAAGTGATGTGTTTTCTAGTGCACTTCATTTGGTATGGGTGTTTAGGAGCAGGGCCTCTGAAGAGACTCTTAAGGTATGAGAAAGGGCATGTAGGAAAAGGTGGTCTATTAGGTAACACAATTTCAAGATATCTAGAGCTTTAGAGTTGGAACCATCTATTCATGTTGGTTCTGGAAATAGACTAGGAAACACTAACAGCTGATAAAGCACAGATGTAATGTAGACTTGAAGCTAGGAAAAGTAGTAGTAGCAGTAGTTGATGTTATTTTGTCTGCTAGGCATTCTGGCCAGGAGTTGTAACTTTTCAAGGCTTTGAATGTGATGAGACTTCCCAGTTCTTTTAAATGATACTGTAGCAGTATTCTGGATAGTGGCAGTTCCTGAACCATTTTTTCAATATAGCTCTACATTGCAGTAGTCAAACTGCCATGTGAAAGAATAAAATTTCTGTTTTATTTGATGTAGCAAAATACTAGTGTGTATAAATTTCCAAACTTTGAGAATTCTGATGGCCAGGCTATTTAAAATACACATAGATCAAATGAGAATGATGAGGTATTTGTGAAAAAGTATTGCATTAGTTGATCTCTGTCTGATTTTTCCAAATCATTCGTGAAAGAGCTGCATTGTGGAGATCTGTCAGTTTTTATCATGGTATCTGTTTCCAAAATTACAGATAGGAAAATAGTTTCATAATTGCATATGATCTCATTGGTCTGTCTTTTTCTATTAAGAAGTCAATTTCATGTTTTCTTTGTTTACTTTAGCACTATTATTTTTTTAAAAAATGCCTGACACCCTTATTGAACTGTACTCAATATATTTAATGAGGACTTCAAAGTATCTTAAACAAAGGAATTAAATGGTTGTTAATGAGCGTACAGGAATTTCACAATGAGGTTTACAAGCGTCTATTAAAATTTTAGAATGCTCCAGTCATAAAATGCAGATAGTCAAGCTTACTTCTGCTATCATCTTACAAGTATTCTGACCCTTCAGGGCAACTGTGGTGGGTAATCTGTAAAAAGAACAAAGTGAAATAGGAAGTGGCTGCAACTGCAAACAACTTCCAAAGACTTCCGATAACACTGGAAACTGCCTAGTGAGGAAATAAAAGGACCTGTGGTTGCAGAATAGCATACTATACTGCAAAGGAAGCCTCCATTGTTTGACTAGTGAAGGTTTTATATTTCCTGCAGTATGTTTGAGTCAGCAGTGGAAAAAAACTAAAGTTCCATTTACCTGCTTATCAGTATATTTCTCATTCATTTTTACTCCAGAAAATATTTTGTTTGTTTGTTTGTTTGTTTGGTTCCACTTACCTGCTTTCTTATCAGTATATTTCTCATTCATTTTTGCTCCAGAAAATATTTTATTCTATCTATCTATCTATCTATCTATCTATCTATCTGTCGGTCGGTCGGTCGGTCGGTCTTTCTTTCTTTCTTTCTTTCTTTCTTTCTTTCTTTCTTTCTTTCTTTCTTTCTTTCTTTCTTTCTTTCTTTCTTTCTTTCTTTCTTTCTTTCTTTCTTATTGGATTTTTCTACCCCACCCATCTAGGCCAAAGATCTACTCTGGGTGGCAATTTATTTAATTTATATTAGTTATTAAACTGGCTATTGTTAGTTGCCCTTTCTTTGGCAGAAAGGAGAAATGGCTGGTTGACCAAGGAGATTTTTTTTTAAGTATCCTTTTATTCTGTGTTTTATTTGTATTTTTAATATTGTTCTTATTATGTATTTTAATATGATAGTTGTTTAATTCTTTTTTTAATATTGTAGTAATTTATTATTTACCTTTTAACTTCATTTCTTTTAAATACTGTAAGCTCCTTTGGATCTTTTGAGAGAAAGCTGGCATATAAATATTTTAAATAAAGGCAGGGTATCTATACAATAAATAATGAATAAACAATAATAAAGAATATTTTTCAGTAAGGATATACTTGCAAATTTTATGGTCCTCCAAAAATGTGGGAAGGGGTCTCCTGAGACTTCAAGAACAAGACCAAGGGGCTTTAAGCATTAGCAGCAGTACTTTATATATTTGCCCAAATTACAAGGTTTTCTTGCAAAAAAGCTTGTGTGATTCCCACCCCAAAGAAGTCCAGAAAATTACACAAAGCTTCTGTTGCTATACAAGAACAAGGGGCTTTAAGCATTAGCAGCAGCACTTTATATTTTTGTCCAAATTACAAGGTTTTCTTGCAAAAAAAGTTTGTGTGATTCCCATCCCCAAGAAGTCTAGAAAATTACACAAAGCTTCTGTTGCTATACTCTAACCATGAGTCTCAATCTGCAGAATCTTCATTCATTCTTAGTTGTATCT